TATTTTTAAAACAATTAACAAGCTTTATTTTTTAGAGCAGTTTTAGCTCTAAAGCATTTTTTAGCTTTATGGATTTCTGTCCAAACTAAGAATTGGCTAGGACCAGGCTAGGTCAGTTTGGACAGATGATGAGGGCCTGGCAAGGCCTGGGAGGCCCCTGCAGACTTGGGGCTGTGCTGGACCTAGAGCCGAGAGGTCTTGGCTGTGGAAAGCTATTTGGCACAGGAGGCCTTGGGAGGATATGGCCCTTGTCGCCTGTTTTCAGTGCAAAGTCTAGGAGGGAGACCATGAGTGAGGAGGAAGGGACGAGTAAGAAGTTAACTAAAAACGTGGTCGGATTCGGATCTTGTCTAGGGCAGAGGTATGACCAACTTTGAGTACCTACCACATGGTTGGTTAGATATCACAAAATGGTAGTTTGGGCTCAATTTGACAAGAATTCAGTTTTTCTTTCATTGATTCAAAAAGGAAATATTTAAACATTAAAAATATCATAAAAACAGCAACAAGCAAACACATGAGACAAAGATTGGCTTGGTGGTTACCAAGGGGAAGGGGGGAGGGAGGAGGGCGAAAGGGATGATTAGGCACACGTGTGTGGTGATGGATCGTAATTAGTCTTTGGGTGGTGAACATGGTGTAATCCATGCAGAAATAGAAGTATAATGAGGTACACCTGAAATTTATACAATGTTATAAACCAATGTTATCACAATAAAAAAATATAAAAAAAATTAACATTTAAAAATTGGAGATTTCAAATTAAAACTTGTATCTGCAGTCTCTCTAGACTGAAGGTGGAACATCTGGTAGCACTTGACCCTCATCCCCACATGGCAGTGGTTGGCTGGAGCTGAGTGGCCCCTGGCCTCTTTAGACAGGGCACGCATGGCCCTCATTATGCTATCTGACTTCTGTCAACATTGGAATTTACAAACCTCAATGCTAAATGCTTTACATATATTAATTAATTTAATCAGTATGAGATAGGTGTGAAGGGCTGCATTCCTTGTGGAGGCCCCAGGAAATAATCTGTTTCCTTGTCTTTTTCAGCTTGTAGAGGCTGCCTGCATGCCTTGGTTCATGGTCCCTTCCTCCATCTTCAGAGTGAATCAGTTCAACCTTTGCTTCCACTGTCCCATCTCCTTCTTCTGTCTTTGACCCTCTTGTCTTCCTCTTTTAAGGACCCTTTGATACATTGAGGCCCCCTGGATAATCCAAAATAATCTTCTATTCTCAAAATCCTTAACTTAATAACACGAGCAAGTTTTTTTCCATGTAAGGTAATAAATTCATAGGTTTTGGGGATTAGGGTGTGGACCAATTTGAGGGGCCATTATTCAGCCTACCACACCACACTAGCTGTGGGCACTTAACTTTGATCCATTTCCACACAAATAGAGTCACCTTACAGCATCATAAAACACTAGGTAAGTCACTTACATATCCTCTACTGGTACCAAAACCTTTGCTTAAAGAAGCATTTAATGTAATATAAGTGAAGCAGAAGCCTAAGAAAGCTGATTGTAATCAAAAGAGGACTTTAGTAAGTTATCTTTATTTGAATCCAAAATGTCTTGCATTTTTTATTTCCATGGCAGATATAAATTAAGCCATGCTCTGCAGAAGATAAGAGTTCTATAATCAGAAATCAACATCCGCGGATATTGTGACACTGCACCTGCATGTTCTGAAGCAAAGAACCCAAAAATACCAAGCACATATAAGAGGCTATCTTTAAACACTAATAATTTTGCTTTTTTAAAACAAAATATCTTAAAAATATGTTATTCCTGTTAAAGTCTTTGAAAACCTGCTAAGTCTGCAGATTCAAATTGAAGTATTTTTTTCCTTGCCACTCAAATAGCTCTTTCTTTCCTTTTTTTTTTTTGTGAGGAAGATCAGCCCTGAGCTAACATCTTCACCAATCCTCCTCTTTTTGCTGAGGAAGACTGGCCCTGGGCTAACATCCACGCCCATCTTCCTTCGCTCTACATGGGACGCCACCACAGCACGGCTTGACAAGCGGTGCATTGGTGCTTGCCTGGGATCCAAACCTGCGAACCCCGGGCTGCCGCAGCGGAACGCTCGCACTTAACTGCTACACTACTGGGCCGGCCCCAAAATAGCTCTTTTCTTAAATGAAGCTTCCAGGAAAGTTTATTTTTTTTTAACCAGCTATGAAAAATTAAGCTTACAAATACACTTTGGAAAAAAGTATAACAAAGATTAGAATAAACTTGTCATCCCAAAGGCGTGGTCCTTAGTTTCATGCCATTAAGGTTGTATTTTTATGTGAGAAGAACTGTAGATTTGAAACCATCATAGTTATAAAATAAGTCACAGTAAAACAGAATTGTAGTTTGAATTATCTTCATAATTCTGTGGGGTTTTTTGGCTTCCCTTGGCTTGTGTAGATCTTCCTACACTTCTACTGTAGAGAGTTTCTCTCTTCCTCAATACCTCCATTTGCTAACCACATTTCATTGTATGCAATGAAAATTCTTATATGATGTACAGAAGGACTCTCCTTTTGAAAAAGTTTGAAGATTGAATAATGGTCTTCAATTGTTGATAAAAAACGTCAAGAACACATTTCTTATTACACTCTCTTGGTGTAGGAGTCTTACAATTTGTGGAAGTCTTATATGTGAACTTTTATCAGCAATGGAGCCTTATGATGATTAAATATTGTCCTCTTTCAGTGACACATCATACTAAATACTTTAAATCAGATAATCTAATAACTGAACAGCCAAGCTTTGGTCGTCAGTTAGGAGGTAATATTAAACTGTATTCATGTTGAAAAACTCATTGCAGAACACTTACCTTTTTTTTTTCTTTCTCCTCGGGTACGTAAATGTTGACTATTTGGGAGACACTGTTTTACTATCTTTGGTGAAATGAAAATGCAGAAGAAAGTGTTGAAAACAGCTAGTCTCCACAGGAACAAGTGTATTCTTTACATTCCAATCTGAGTAATAAAGACCCAGAGCTGTTCTTCAAAATAGGTAAATAAATAAATAAACCCAAGAAAGCTAAAGCGAATTTTCTTCTCCTTGTTTTTTGTTTCTTTAATTATATTCGTGAAAGTAGGTAGAGGGGAGATCGTAAAAAATAGAAATATAAATTAATTTAGGAAAAACTGATATCTTTGTATGTTATCCTTCCACCCAGGAACATTTTATTTTCCTCCAGTTATTCAAGTTTGTTCTGCATTTTTCTGTTAAATTCAGTTATTTTTTTCACATAGGTCCTTTGCTTTTCTCTTAATAGGAGCAATCAAGTATAATGAGAATGGGGCCATTTCTTCAGCTTTTGATTGTGGGGATATTCCTTGCCAGGAATTTGTTTACTTACAATCTTTCTTTTGATTTGCTTCTTTATTTACAATTTTGCTTGTAATTTTCATGTATTTCTTATTTTTCCTCCTTACAGAGAAATTTTAGCTAGTAAAAACTCAATTGTGCCTCAGTTCAAAAATTTGTTCTAGTAAAATAGAAAGCCATTAAAAATCATCATACATAGATTTTGTCTAATAGATGAAAATCGAAGACATTTACTCTAGTTTTATAACAATAACTTTATGTTTTCATTATTTTACAATAGCATATTCTATTCTAGTGAATCCTCTACCATTTTTGTCTTTTCTTGATTACGATGTAGTGTTCATACTGGGAAGCAGTAGGAGAGAAAGCCTAGAAAGGGGGCCTGGGAATAGATTGCGTTAGGTCCTTCAAACTCAGGTGAAGTAATTCAGATCTTTGTCTTGCAGGCAATATGTAGGCATTTAAGGTTCTTGAGCAGAGATATGAGATCAAAGTGGTAGTTAATGGAAAGTATTCTAATAGTATTTGGGTTGGATGAAAAGGGGAGAGATTGGGTGAAACAGTCTTCACTGGAAGAGACCACTTAGAGAGCCTAGCAGTGTAGGCATGAGTTACTAATAAGGGCCTGTGGGTTAGTACTGGTGGGACTGGAAAGGAATGACGTGGGTTTGAGGGCCATTATGAAAGGAGATTTGGTGATTAGTTTTCTTTACAGGACAGCCTAGATAGAGGAATAAAACATGAATGAAATTTTGAGCTTGGGAGATGGAAAGAATGATAGGACCAGGAATAAAAACAAAATAAAAATCAGGAGAGGGAGCTTGTTTGAAGGGGAAGATAAGGAATTCAGTTTCAGACATGCTTTCTTTGAGACAGCAGCAGAACGTACAGCTGTATGTGTCCAGTGGTTACTTGGATAATATTGGACAGGGTCTTAAAGAAGGAACTGGTCTCGCATGGATTTGGAACCATCAACATAGAATGAGTGTGGCAGCCTTAGGAGTAGATGAGATTCCTAATGGAGAGAGTTTAAATGGAAAAGAGCAAAGACAGGAGCCCTGACCCTCTGAACACGTACAATCCACATGAATTTTATTGTTTTTATGACCCTTATCTGAAATTATACTGCTCACTGTGTGCTTATGTCAACATAGACCTGGCCCGCATTGTTCACCACTGTGTTTCCAGCCCGTTGACCAGTGCCTGGCACACGGTAGGTGATAAAAAAGTATCCATTGTGGGGCCAGCCTGGTGGCGCAGCAGTTAAGTGCGCGCGCTCCACTGTGGTGGCCTGGGGCTCACAGGTTCGGATCCGGGGCATGCACTGACGCACCCCTTGTCAAGCCATGCTGTGGCGGTGTCCCATATAAAGTAGAGGAAGATAGCACGGATGTTAGCCAAGGGCCAATCTTCCTCAGCAAAAAGAAGAGGATTGGCATTGAATGTTAGCTCAGGGCTGGTCTTCCTCACTCACACACACACACACACACACACACACACAAGCATCTATTGAATGAAGAAATAACATTTTTGTAAACATTCACGTCTTCAAAGAGTCTCAAGTGTGACCCTAGATAATTTACCTGATCAAGGACAAGTGTTTTATCAGACAACATATTTCAAAGAAATATACATTTTACATTTAGTTTTTTTACAGGTTTGGATTCTGACCTTGTATTTTGGTGTCTGACTCTTCAGATGTGACTGGAGGCATCTTGGTTTTTAGAGCTTTCCTGTCACTTTCATTTCCTCCCTGTGAGAAACAAAATAGAGATTGAACATGATGAATTTACATAAAAATGAAGTTGAATGTAAAATATAACATAGAGTTTTTCATTCAATTATCAAGCCAATCATTAAGGTTGATCATTTGTTTATGATATACTAAAAATGATAATTCTTGCGCTTAAATGAATATTCTTGGCTCTACTACTGAATAATCAGCCTCCACCTGCACAGCTTGTTGGTCACAGGCACTCTGTTTTTGTCAGTGTGGTTGCTGCATCTCCCTGGCACAAGTTCCTCCCAATTTTGATCCTCACTTCCCACAGCCCTGGTGTTGGTCCCGGTCTAGGTCTTTAGCGGTAGAACTTAAAATGATGGAGAGAAGAAAGCAGTTTAGTGCCTTTACTCGTAGCTCTCCTGTTTCTTCTCTCCATGATTTCATTTGCTTCTACCTTGTCATTTGTCTGAACATCTAAGCTTTCCTTTGAACTGGAGGTACGTCTCATAGGACACGGCCAGAGTATGCCTGGGAACATTCCCATGGAGACAGGGTACAACAAGATATAAAGTTAGAACATAGAAGGATTGGGTCCCAACCTGCTCACAGTCTAGTTGGGGGAAAAAACACATGAAAAAGTAACTGCAACAAAATGTCATAGGTGATGAGACAATGTTTGTAGAGGGTGGAGGTGGGGCATAAAGATGGAGTGGTCAATTCTACTGCAGTAGAGGGAAGGGAAGGAGACTATTAAAAAGGAAGTGACCCTTGATTTTATAAATCAAGATGAGATTTTTGTTTTCCAAATGGACAAGTCATGGAAAATATTCCAGGCAGAGGGCGCATATTTAGCAAAAGCCCAAGGTGTGATTGTATACAGGTGAAGGGAACTACAGTAGAGGTGGTTGGATGGGAAAGAGTGTGAGAAGACTAGTGAAGTAGGCAGGGATGAGGACCTTGAGAGTCTTGTAAGCCTTGATATGGAGTTTGACATTATTTATAGACACTCTATGTCAGAAACATGTTAAACTGGAAAGTAAATTAATCAGATGACTTAATTTAAGCCTTGCAGTAACCGTATGTGTTAAGCTTATTCTTATGTTATTGAATAGGAAATTGATTAAGTGGCTAGAAATGTATGGATCCCTGGATATATTATGAAGTAACAATAATGCCTTTTGATTTCAATCAAATAATTTACATCATGTTATGATGTTATTCATAAACATTTCCATCACAGTCTTTAAGTGTCTACAAATGTAGATTTATGTGAGTAGCATCTTATTCTGGAGCACAAGAGAGTGTTCTGTTTAGTCTGAGTTTACAGTTCTTGATTTATTGGTTATTGACAAATCTGAATTACCTCTGATATTTTGGTTTGGGAATTAACTATTTAAATGACATTTAAAAAAATATGATGTAAATTGATTTATTCATTCCTAGAAATTGTCTTAAAGGACTCAAATCATCTATTTGTTTTTCAAAATATAAGGAATTTTTAACAGAACACATTTTGTTTAAACGTTTTAAAAGGTTATATTCTGTGGAGGAAGATATAGTTTTAACTTTCTGTCATTTTTAATATTTGGCATATTTGAAACTGGAGAAAAACTATTTTTCTTATACCCACATGTTATTGGAAAGAATATATGCAAATAATTCCCCAAATATGACTTTTAAGATACATTATGATGCCAGTAGACTTCATGATTAACATCCATAAATTATGGCATCCAAAAATTATCCATAAATTATTGGAATGGCAGGGGATATACCCAAGAGTTGCTCTATGTGTGTCTGGTTCTTCTCTAGTATTACTCCAGTATTACTGTTCCAGAAGGAAAGACAACTCTTTAAGGAGTTTCTGCTTTTTGCCTTCTCTCTAGTATCCTTTTATCCTGTGGGTGGAGTGTTTGGAAAAGTTGATTCAACTAATACTCCTGTTCTGAAGCAGGATAGCCTAGCAATTTAGCTCTCAGGTGAAAAAAAAGAAGTCAGGTAGAACAGGGTTCTAACCCAGGTGTTGCAATTTGTTAGTCGTGTGCAAGTAGCGAATTATAACAGGACCATGGTTATTGTGAGGATTCAATACAACAGTGCTTGGAAAGCAGACAGCACCTTGCTTGGCACATAGTAACTGCTGTTAGCTATTCTGTTCTCCAAGAGAATGATATATTAGCTATTTTTATGTGCTCCGTGGGAAAATAATCGTGATAGCAAGGGTTAAACATCACTGTAGTGACTTTCCCAGAGAGAAAAACAGCAAGGCTGGCTGAAGGGAAGCAACCAGCTCAGCATTTGTGATATTCTCTGAGTTTTTAAACATATAAATGACGTTTAAAGTGTGGGATTATTTATTTTGACATAAGAATTAGAAAGAAGTCAAAGGCACTCTCATGAAGCACATTCTCCACATCTCTTCTCCGTTGCAAAAACAGTCAACGTTAATCAGAAAAGGAAGGCCAATTTTCCAAGGCCAATGTTAAATAATCTCGGTGTTTTCGATGCTCTAGGCTCATTTACACCTGAATCATTAGACCATGCTGTTCTAGTCCCTGAGGTACACTCCTTGTACTTGACATCTTTCATCCAATTCTTTTAGATGGGAAAATAATTATTGCTCTAACAACCTTATGTAGCTCTTGTAGGTAAATCTAGTGAGTAACTCATGAAAATTGTTCTATGGATAATTCTAAGTGAATATTGATCATATAATTATTACTTTGGACTTAAATCTGTCATAAAAACACAAATTCTTCATAATAACAACAATAATAATAGTAATAATATTTGCCACTTAGGAAGTGCCTACTATGTACTTTATATATACTGTCTCCAATTTGTATAATAAGGCTACAAAGCATGAATTGTCTTTATTTTACAGATGAATAGACTTAGAACTTACAAAAAGATTTGTCTAGAGCAGAGTTCCTCCACTTTGGCAGTACTGAAATTTTGAGCTGGACAATTCTGTGTTGTGGAGGGCTGTCCTGTACATTCTGGGATGTTTACCAGCATCTCCAGCCTTTACTCTTTAGATGCCAATAACATCTCTACTCCTAAGCTATGAGAACCAAAAATATCTCCAGACATTGCCAGTCATTCTTAGTAGCAAAACTGCTCCCTACTGAGAACTCCTGGTCTAGAGAAATTATGTTAAAATGTAGTTTACTAAGACCAGGATGTTTGACTCTCTTTGTTGAAACTAAATCATACAGCCAATTTAATATTAGAAAGATGCTTTCATTTTGGATGATGGTAAAAGTGAAAATCAGCAATGAGAAGTCTTCATTGCTTTTGCAAATCCTAACATAGTCTTCTAAACATTTCTTATTCTGTTTTAAAGCAAATATATGCAGTATATATAAAATAATGAGGATAAACCCCAAAGACAAACAGTACGTGACCCAGATGGTAGCAGGCAAAACTGTGACGCAATCTTATCTACCGCACTGTTTATTAAAATCCATCACCAGACAAGGAACGATGAGCGTCAAGACTGATTTAGGAATGTAAGGAGCATACCTGTCCCGTGGATGGCTGAGACTGACTGCTCCAATCAGGACCTTGTTTATTCTCATCATCTCCTTCTCTAGGCTTCACCTTGTTGAATCTTATTGCTGGCAATTTAAACATCTTCTCTGTTGGTTGTTCTTCTCTGGTGGTTCTTAAAACTTCTGTTTTTATGTGTCTCGAGGTAGAGAAATGTACTTTGTTTTTCTTTTCATTAGTAGACAAGCCAATTAATCGTTTAATCAGGATTTTGTTCTGGTTAATTCCTAGAGGCAACTCTCTAGCTAGTCAGGGCTTTGGCTTAAAAGCAGCAAATTACTTCTGCTTGGGTGATTTGAATTCTGTTTATGAACTTTACAGAGTCAAAATTCCCCGTTGAATAATTTGTAAGTGGAGAATTAAACAAAACTTCATTGTTGATTTAAATTGTTTAAATGTCATCACCTTGCTCCTTGGTTTATTTTTCTTTCTTTCTAATTACCCACCTACCTATCTCTTTCTATCTAATTTTAATCAAAGTAATACATACAAATCATTAAAAAATAAAATGTGTCTAGGGGCTGGTAATGTAAAGTAATAGTTCACTCCCCTAAAGTCCGTATCTCTAGTCCTGCACCATGAGGTAACTAATTTTTCCTTTTATGGTCTTCTGGTGGTTCTTTCTTTCTTTTTTGTTTTATGAGCCGTTAGTATTTTATTATTTGACTAGACTAATGGAATTCTTAGGAAATATAATAAAAAATGAGATATATTGCTTCCCATTCCCAATAGCCTAAATGTCTATCTCAGATTCATAATGATGATTACATTACAATTAAGCAGAGAGAGTATATTAGTTTGCTTGGACTGTCATAACAAAGTACTGCAGACTGGGTGACTTAAGCAACAGAAATTTGTTTTCTCACAGCTCTGGAGGCTAGACGTCTGAGATCAAGGTGTCAGCAGGGTTTGTTTCTTCTGAGGGCCATGAGGGAAGGAACTGCTCCAGGTCTCTCTCCTTGGCTTGTAGATGGCTGTTTTCTCCCTGTGTCCTCACATTCTCTTCCCTCTGTTCAGTTTGTGTCCAAATTCTCTCTTTGTATAAGGACACCAATCATATTGGATTAAGGCCCACCTTAATAACCTCGTTTTAACTTAATTACCTCTTTAAAGACCCTATCTCCAAGTACGGTCATATTCCAAGATACAGGGTAGTAGGACTCCCACATGAATTTTTGAGAGGATACAAGTCAGCCCATAACAGAGAGACGGTATGTTTGTTGAATACCACTTTGGAGGAAGTGCATTTTATAGCTAAGAAGAAATTTGTTCCAAAACTTCTTAAAAGTTTATTATTTTCTTACAAATCACTCAAATATCATGAAAGGCAAATATATGATTCCTAGTTTTATAAGCTTGGATAATTCCATTGGATTATTAATTTCATAAATTGTAAAAAAAAAATGTATCTTTCTCCAGCATGGATGTTTTTCTCTGATTCACCATTTAACCCATAAGGCTAAACCCCTTGAAGGAGGACACCATGCATTACTTATTTTGTCCCCCAGTGCCTTTATATAGAATAGAAACTCATGCCTCTGCAGAGTAGAATTCAACTGAAAGCTCTTGAAGAGATCTGACAACTTTAGTCCTTACTTATATCTCTGTTTTAGTTCAGAACTAATTAAATACATTACACTTGCAGCATCTAAATTTATACATTTCTTCAATACTTGGCCCCACAATCTGCTGCTTCATTTGCTAATATTTTCCTCCCTCTGTGTCTTCTTCCCAAACAGATGGAAAGGTTCTACCATCAGAACCCTTTGCTGTGTCACTTCTCCTGGTATCACCTTGTCATCTAACGCAGGATCCTTTCATTGCATCTGTACCATTTTAACCAAATATGTAGAATATTCTAATATTTCTTTCACAATTTTACTGTTAAGCAAAATCACAAAACTTAAAAACTTGTAAAACGTCCAAGTCTATATCAGAAATCTATGAAATTCCAGTGAAAAGTTCATCTTTTCCTTTTGGAAGCCCAAGGTCAAAGAGGAAGGTGGGATTGTAGTCCTGAGGAGAGCCATGGAACTCCCATTTCCATCCTGGCAGTGACATATCTACTGGATGCAAGGAGACCCCAATGTGAGGGATTTGGATTATTAACATACAGACAGTCATCACATATGGAGGGGCTAGGAACTGAGCTAACTCCTGGTTGTCTGCATACCTTAGCTCTATATGCCATCAAACAATAGCAGTAAGAGCATTGAAATGGCTACTTTCCATCATAAACTAAGTTATTTCTCATAAACCATCTCTTGTTAGACTAGGTCTAAACATACAAATATATCTAGACTACTTATTCTAGTCTTCCATAGATTCTTCTTCCAAAACATTTCAAAGACCCAGTTAGACAGTCAGGATTCAATGTCCTTCTACAATACAAATTATCAAGTCATGGTATCATCTTTAATATGTAGCTTTTTAAAAATATTGGACTTTTTAAAAAAAGATAAAATGAGTATGTCAATTGTAGGAATTCGTTCTACTCTTCTAAACTAAAATTAAAGTAATGTATGTAATAGAAAACTCTCCATGATTTGAGAGTGCTTTTAAAGTGAGGTCTTGCTTACTACATGGAGTTCCAAAGGCAACTGAAACATTAAAATACTGGAAAAATATAGATGAGTTAATCAAATTTTACCTGTTTTTCTGGATAATATAAGCACTTTATATAAATATAAGAATGTAACTGGTTTTCTTTTTTTAAAATCCATGATTGCAATTGGGGCATTAAAAATGCTTGCACATTTTGACAGGAAATTGTCAATGTTTAGCCTGATTTGTTGGTAGAATCTTATTCCTTACCTTGCCTTATTTTAAAAATTAAAATTAACTTTAAAAAACCAAATTTTTTCCAGCTTTATTGAGATATAATTGACATATAACATTGTGCATGTTTAAGGTGTACAATGTGATCATTTGATACATGTATGTATATGGAGAAATGTTTACCACAATAAGGTTACTTAACACATCGTTCACCTCACAGAATTGCCATTTTGTTGTTGCTGTTATGGTGAGAACATTTAAGTTCTACTCTCATGGCAACTTTCAAGTATACAATACAGTGTTGTTAACTAGAGTCACTTCTGGTGATTATTTCTACATTGCTAAAAATATCTGCTTATTCTATTTCTTTGTGTGTGTGAAAATTTGGACCCCAAACCTGTGTGAGGCATAGACTCAAGATTAAGAATGGCTAAGGAGAACTTTTATCCTACTCAGAGCCCAGACAAACTTCCTTGTTCTGTGCTGTTGGATGGATTTTTTTTTTAAAGGAGACAGTTTTTTTAGGGGGTCCTGTTTTATTTTTGTTTTTAATGGGACGACATCTCTTGTGCACTCTCCAGTTAAAACCAAGACCTGAGAACCGAGACCAGCCTCCACATCCTCAAAACCTAGGGCAGCCCCAGGATCTCATCAAGTACTCTTCCCTTAGTAACTCTGCATTCTGGGCATTTCCTTGAGATTCTAGCTATGTAGTTTAAAGCATATTTGTTACAGTTCATAGAGCAAAAAATTTTAAGTACTTGTCAAGAAAGAATTTTAATTTGGTTTTCCATATTACCAAAATCACAAGTCCCATTCTGATTTTTAAAAGAAATTAGAAGTTTCAATTTTAGATTCAATCATTTTATCATTATGTAATAAATAACTTGATTGAATATATGATTTGACTTGTATGTCCTGGAAATACAAAGTTACTTATTTTTGTTCAAAAAATGGGTGTTTGTTTTAAAAGGCAGTTTTCTTTTTCATTACATTATTGCTTCAGAATTAATTCTGAATTAATTATCAAAGATGTCAGGGGTCATTTCAGGAACTTCTCAGATAATCCTCTAATCCTATAGTTGATTATGTTTTTGAACTTAGGATATAAACATCAAAGCCAAGTCATGGGAAGGAAAGGTTTACAGCAGGCTTGTGACTAATTCTCTGCCTTTCTGCGACCCTCAGAGGACTAAATGGCCTCATCAGACCCCCTTGTAAACCTGCTTATAGTATTTACTAGAGGAAAGATGCCAGGTAGTCCTTATATGTGAAGTGTATTTAGTAGGGTATTACTGGTCTGTCTACACTGCTTATTGGAAATAAACCTGAAATTTATGGATTTATGTGGCATGGCTGGCTGAAGAAGGGGAGGGGAGTAGTGTCTGGCTCAGTGCTGGGCATATTTTAGGTACTCCATGAATGTTTGTTGAATGAATGATGACAGGATGATGATTTAGACCATCTCTTAGCTCTGAATCAAGAATAAAGAGGTTCTTTGTGGCAAAGGCATAATGTAAGAAGTGGAAAAAACCTCTCTGAAGGAGCAGAGATTTTTTTTTCATGGGCTCATTGCTTTTTTATCAGTATTCATTGTATGCAAGACTTTGTCTTAGGCTGGGAGTGGGGTGGGCTAAGAGAAGTATGCATAAAATAATGGTGTATTTCATAAGGAATGGTAGGTCAGATTTGATGAATATGGTTTATAAATGGCACACAGCAATATTTTTTGTATAACTCTAACTCTAAATTCTGTGATTTTGTATTGTTCTGCATATTCTAATGTGTTATTACACACACACACAGATGGTAACAAAACCATACTAAAATGAAAAGAATCATCATTAGCAAATAGTAGCATATTCTTGTTGTGACTAGTAATTTAGTTTCAGCAGAGTGTTATCCATCACATCAATGATTTTGCTTTAATCTTTTTGATTTTTATGTTTTATGTTAAGTTTACAAACAGGTTTTAGCTTTATAGTTATATAAAAGATATAAGCAAATGAAATTTATATTTAGTTTCAGGTTTGAACATATTTACATATCATTCCTACAAAATTATTCAGATCAATGCTGGAGGACCCATAACAAAGTTTCTACTTAATAGGAATCATGTTTGAGAAATGCTGACTGTCTTTGAGGGAAATTTGAGTGGCGGGATTTCAGACATTCCTGTTAGGGGGTGATTTTGGATGGGGAGGACTTTCTAGTAGTTCTCAAATGACAGTCTTCTCTGCTTTTGGGAGGGGGCATGGGTTGGAGTGTTCTTTCTTTATGGCAGACCGTTGGAAACAAACTACAAAAC